TTTCTTTATGTAAGAAATTTCTACCCTTTAATTCTGTTCCTCTAATTAAAGTGGTAGAAATTTAGAAGAAAGAACCCCACATAATAGCACATAAAGCTACTCCACATTACAAATTGACAACACCTATTCTCTTCTTATAACCCACTTGGCAGCTCTTAGATATATATAGACAGATACATATTGAGGGAACTATATGGCTCATTTTATAGCTGCTGGATGCTGCCTGACTTTAATATAGAGGGAATGCTAGGATCTCAATCCTGTAAAGAATTAATCAAAATGGCACAAAAGTAAAAAAAATAAATTAATCAGGACATCCCTTATTTTGCTTTCTTGTGATTCATTGTTGTTGAAGCTCATTAAGCTAGGTGGCAAGGCAGCCATCTTGGTTATTAATGCAGCCAACAGCAATTCATTATTCACTTTCAACTGCAAGGACTATTTAGAAAAGAGACTTCAGCTTATGAGACTTTTGAGAAGTAAATGCAATGAAATCGCTGCACTATTAAAACAAATCGACTGTTGATTGATTACCAATGAATCATGGAGATATTATGGAGATTTTGGTTGCAATATAATAGAGAGTTACATGGGACGGCCGGGGAGTATGTTTTATGGGTATGATATCAAACACCTCCAATCTCTATTTTCTTTTATTAAGGTGTATTCCATTTTTCAGTTAACACTGTACACACAAGACATCAAAATTATGGATAACACCTAAAACATGAATGAGATGGGAAAATATGTCTATTTTTGGTTTTTTAAGTCACATCAGGAGATCAAATGGTTGAAGCTAGTTAATTTGGCGGCACATTTGGGCTACTGGCCTTCATTAGTCAGTCCAATTTTGCAGCCATATATTTTGTTTGAATACATAATATTAGTGGTTCGACAATCTTAAAGATGTAGAACACATACACACAGTGTTGTTGTCCTGCACTAGTAGGTCACCCAAGCAGTATGTGTGGCTTGACAACGCGAGTATTTCCTCTTTGGCAACAGCATTATATGCAACCATCGCTCATCGATCGATATACTGCAGCGACATATATACTAGTCTAAAGATAAATTTCTCTCTGCTTCCTATTCCCATACCTACACACTCTCTAGAAATGTCAGTCATCATCTCATGCAACTATATATATAGTATTCAGAAACTTCCTCCATGCATGCCTCTGCTTAATTCCCTCATAGCATTAGTTCTGTTGTTGTTTCTCTTCTTTTCAGGGTGTTTCTCTTTCTTGTCTTGGAATTGATTCCTCTCTGCTTCCCATTCCCGTACCTACACACTCTAGAAAATGGCACTCATGTAACTAGACATGAAAACTCCATCCATGGTTTCCACTTAATTCCATACAAACACTTCTTTTTCTGTTCTTTCTTTCGCACCCTCGCAGGCAAGTGCGAAAGACATATATAGACATTCTTATAAGCCATTTTACAAGAGCAATTAATTTTCTCTGCAATCTACCATCTGCACTTCACTGTAAAACTTCATTCATTGAATTTCCTCTATGTACGGATCTGCCACTGTCAAAGCCATGGTAGCTTGGGGGCATCTTAGTTAGTTACATGGAGTCATTGATTCTTTCAGAAAAATATATATATGTATGATCGGTTCAAACAAAAGCTTGGCTAGCATCGCTGTTAAGGAATAACTATGTGCATGCAAAATACACGCCTAGTATATACATGTTCGTCGATCAACCTCCAGCGATAGTAGAAATCAAAGGCGAGAGAGGATTACATGTAACTGTCCTCATCATTACTTCCACCTTTGGATAGTTGGATGCATTTTTCTTCTATTATTCCCAAATGTCACCATCTTTGAGTTGCAAGCGAAGGTACACAGGTAAATCGTTTACTTCATCGCCCTGCTAGCTAAGACTACGCTTTAGTAATGGCTGAAAACAAAGATAATAAATTTTCTCTGAATTGAACTTTTTACATCAAATATTGATGAAAGCAATGTGCCCTAGCACATTCAAGATAGGCTTAACTCACCCATCTGTTCTGCATTCAACTGACCACTCCAACTCGCTATTGATGTTCACGTCGCATGTTTATTTTTGGGCTTGTCCTTGTTCTTTGCCTCCTACTTTTGTAAGCTAAAAACTACCTTGAAAAAAGGCACTCTTACATGGGTCGACGATAATCCTTGGAGGCCAGTCTTCCCAAGATAAAAAGTTACGATGCTATCAGTATTTTCTTATCTCGATGGCTACCATACCCATAATAATCCTCTATGAAATTTCTAGCCTTTTGTTCATCTATTGATGTAGACATTTAGAAGAAAGAACTCAAGATAATCAAATAGCACACGAGCTTCTCTTTTGATAACCCACTTGGCTGCTCCTAGATACATATTGATGCATATGTATATGGCTCAATTTATAGCTGCTGGATGTTTCCCATCTTTAATATTGAGGGAATGCTAGGACCTTAACCACTGTAAATAATTAATCAGGATCGCAATTTTTTTAAAAAATAATCAAAGACATTGAAATAACAAATTGACATCAAAATAATATGATTCAACCTCAAACCCTTTTAAATGTAGTAGCAGATAACATTGGAGTCCAAAAATTGATGTGTAGGTGCTGCTAGTAATCAACAATATGCTCATATTGATGATGTTATTGTTGCTGTAATGAAAGATGCAGTGCCCCAAATGCCTCTAGAAAGACCCAAAGTAATTAGAGAAGTAATTATATGTACATGTAAAGAGTTCAAATGTGAAACAGTATAATAATACGCTATGCCGATATACAACGGTTATCATCGATCAAAAAAGAAATCCAAAGGGCACTCACGTTTTTGGCATGATCGCCGGGAATTGAGAGAATTGAATTGTATTAAAATAATTTCATTTCGTAAAGCTAAGTGGCAAAGTCATCTGGTTATTAATGCAGCCAATAGCAATATGTTTACTTTCAACTGCAAGGACAATCTAGGAAAGGGGCTTCAGCGTATGAGACTGTACGAGAAGCACATGCAAGGAAATTGTTGTACTGTTAAAACGAATTGATAGTTGATTAATTATGGAGATTTGGGTTGCAACAGAGAGGATAATTGTAACGGGAAATATGGGTGTCATCCAACACCTCCAATCTTTGTTTTTCTTTCATTAATGTGTATTACATTTTTCAATGCATACATGAATGAGATGGGGAACATAAGCCTATTTTTGTATTTAAACCACATCTGCAGATCAAAAAGTCTAAGCTAATCTGGCAGGTTTGGGTGTAAATGAAGATGTATGCACTTGGTTCAGTAAACCATTCTACAATCTGCTTGCCAAGAGTATAAGACTAGCCTCTAATTAAGCTTGATACTGAGCTTAAATGTGCCAAACATTGCCAGTTGATACTGTTTTAGACATGTGACTCACAAACAATTCTTTCTCAGTTGTCATCTGCACTCTTGCTGTTGTGGGAAATGAAGGTGTCAACATACCACTACAACTGGATGTAGTTGAGATTCTAATGATTAGTTTGTTTATTGGACTAAGGTTGTCGATGCTAGAAGAGAAATACTTGTTCCTTTCACATGCCATGTAGTTCTGCCAACGTTCAGCCATCCTGATGCCTAACATTTCTATCTCATTCGTCTATGTAACAAGCTGGATTTTCAGAAGAGAGAAGGCATACATGAAAATCCTGCATATTACTACATTTCTCCTCTTCTTTTTACTTGCATTGTTGTCTCTCTTGGCTCGTAGTTCTTTTATACAACCACAGTATGCAATTATGTAGCATTCACTACAGAGATGGTAAGGATCTTAACCATGCTCAGCAACAGCCATTGAGGCTTCTGTACCAATCCATGTACTCCGACTCAATTTAAATTCTACTAATGTGGACACAGTTTTATGCATGAGGAGAATCCCCTGACCTTTCATGGTACAATGATATACGAGCAGTAGAAAATCACATATGCATATGTAACCAAGCAATGCACTACACTACCACCTCTCCAAATCAGTCACATCAGTTCTCAAATACATTTGTTGAGTATCCTATGTGTGGAGCTGTCATTGACCAAGCTCAAGGTATGATTTAGGACATCTTAGCTACATGGATGCCTATAACTTGAGGGTTCGCGAAACTTACAATCCTGATGTCTCATATGCCCAATTGCATTTTTGTTACATACTCCCCCCCCCATACACACGAGTGGACTGTTGTTTGGTCATGCATAAACAAGATGAATATAATACAACATATGAACGAAATTGACTAAATTTTGTGGGAGTCTAAATATGCTCTCTGAAACCACATAAACACAGATCCTTCTCCTTGTCCCTTTAACAGACCCCCCAAAACAACTATATATACTTAGATGTTCCTCTCAATAATATTCGGTATATGCTTATTCTTCGAATAAAATGCATATGCATTCCTGAAGGCTCGAGAGCATATATATATATATATATATAGGGATGCGCTAAACCGCGTATGAGGTGCGCAATAACTAAACTACTCCCCTCACAGCACCCACCCCCACTAGGGGGCTCTCCCACCGTCTCCCGCACCTTTTTCTCTCTCTCACCATTTTTGTCTTTCAGTAAATAAATTACTCGCAGTTAATATCTTCTTATTAGTAAATGAATTTCTAACTAATAATTGATCTTTACATTGTCATCCCGCATCTTTTGGCATGTCCATTCCAACTGTAACCCGCACATTTCTCTTGCACACGTAGTAACTAAATTACTCCCTGTTAATATATTTTATTAGTAAATAAATTACTCGGAATCCAATTCATTCCTTATCTCAGTAATTGGATTACTCCCAGGTTGTTTTCAGCCCTTCTCAATTGGTTACTTCTCTCAGTAAATGAATTACTGTCGGGTTGTTCTCATTCATTCTCTTAGTAAATAAATTACTTAAGATAATACTACACTTAATTGGTTATCATACTTTCTCGCAGTAAATAAATTACTTAAAAATAGCGTATTGACATCGTCACAAGATTTCTCTTAGTAAATAAATTTATATTACACCAATCTCAACATAACATATTGATATTGCCAAAAAATTCTCTTAGTAACCATGTTACTATTGCACCGATAGTTCTCAACATATGTCTCTTAGTAACTAAATTACTATTACATGCACGAATCCAACAAGCAAGACGACGCTAGTGCCACATATCGATGTTGAGCCGACAAAGCACTATAGATTCCTTAGGTCTCCCATCGACATATATCCATCACGCATGAATATCTAGAGAGCATCCCACAACCACCTGGATATAGACAAAAACGATTACATCATAAGAGAAGTCTTTAATTTACACTCATAAATGACTCTAAATGAGATATGGTTCGCCGAAGAAGAAATAAAATGCTTCATAAAAAATTGAGCTACCAGTTTAGGTTCCTTTATGCCTACTTTTAGCCAACAGTTCTTTTTTTATTCAGACAAGCATGGAGGTCACATTTTGTTTCCTTAACTGTGGTTCCTGGGCTCGCCTAGACCCGATCTGCAATCGATGACATTGTGCAAAAAAGAAAAATTAAGAATGCAGTTGGCCGAAAAATGTAGAATAGGTAATTGGGATGCTTCAGGCTAAAATATCCAGATATCTCAGATTAATAACATACAAGTTATAAACTACATAAAACCTGCCATCTTTTCAGATGAAAAACGATTTCAAGAATAAAAATGGATAATGTTAAAAAAAAAGAATAAAAATGGATCTAATGTTCTTAGTGAAAAGAACAATCATAAATTCAGAATGATCTAGATTCTAGCATTCACTAGTCAATTATATCCAAGGATCAAATTTGTACCTGGAGGGTGGGGAGTCGATGATCTCGTTGGTAAAAATAGCAGATGCAGAAAAACACCCAGAGTATGTGCATGTTGTAGGTGTTGTTCTGCTCTGACAAGGATACCTACGAATCAATGAAAACGAAAGACAAAATAGATGTCTTCATCCCAACAAATAATTGATGCACTGTAATTTACATTTTGAATCTCTCCAATTGGAGCCGGGATACGCTGCTTGCTCTTCTTGTTGGCCTCAGCTTGGGGGAGTGGTGCAGCACCAGTCGTCGCCCCGGCCACCGCGGCCGGCTCCTCTCGCTGACGATCACTTGGTTGAAGGGGAGCACCACTGGCCGTCTAAATGCATCATGAAAACAACAGCCTCTAGCAGCGGGCCTGACTACATTGAAAATCCTACAAAATCAAAGGGTGTGTCAGAGCAAAGACAGAAAGAAAACAAAGCGGAACAGGAGAAAGGAGATGACCAGATCGATGGGGTTGATGCCAGGTGCACAGAGGAGACGTTGCCGCATCACTGGCATCCCTTTATTCTCCTTCTCCCGTCTCTCTTCGTGTTGAAAAGAAGCAAGTGGCCACATCCGGTGAGGCGGGCGTCGGCGCCGGGAGAGTGATATGGAGGACGTCGCTCCATCCTCTCCGTCGCCGCCGCCGCTCCTAGTCGAGGCTGCTGCCGTTGCTGACGCTCAACTGCTCCACCGAGCCGCCAAAGCGACCTCCTCTGTCTCTCAGATCCAAAAAAACAGGATCGGGATTGATTGTAACTGAATGGAGATGTGGTTAGACATCTATATATGTTGTGTAGGTAACGTCCAGTAAAAATATTATTCAGAATATGGATGCGAGAAGGGGCTTGGGGCTTGGGGGGGGGGGTGCGGACTGGCTGGAGGACAGGAGTGTGGGTGTGTTTTAGCTATACTACACCCCTGTTGTAGTATAGTATCTCCCTATACTAGGGACTATATATATATATATATATGGGTATATGGGTAAATTAACTGGTGCTATATGGGTATCCTATATATATATATGCTTCTTGAGTTCAGAGGAAATAATTAAAATAATTTAAAGAAGAACAATTAAAAGCAAACCTAATCAGATAGGCAGCCTACTTTATCTGACGTTACATGTGTGCATTTTATTTGTTGTCTATAGCAGCTGGATGGCTGCATCCATATCTCTTATAACTAAGTATCCCTTTGTTTTGACTTAGGCCTTTAAGTTGGACGCCAAGGAAGAACTTGGTGTCAGTGGTTTTAACAAGGAAGCAACAAATATTTCTGGCGAGCGTGCCCAAGGAGACTCAAACCTAGGCTGATAGGGGTGCATCCCAGCCACCCCTACCACGACGCTATGAGCGCATCTATTGGCTTAGGCATTTAAGTTGATTTTTGTGGCTGTTACGGTTTATAAGTCGATAACTTTTAGGGCCCCAGTTGGGCAAAGTGCTAACTCTAATATGCATAAGCCAAAAAGCTACTCAAACCTAGATATCGGCTTAACAGCGTAAGAATAGGATATGGCTTCAAAATATCCTAAGAAAAAAGCTGTCTGGTCACTTGGGCTTTGGCTTTTTAGATTATAAGCTGGCTCATATATATAAGACCAAACAAAGAGGTCTGGTGCTAAGTTATACACATGCCATTTCTATTAAGGAGATATTAATTTCATATAACTCTTCATGTAAAAAAAAAATTCTGATGGTGAAAGCTTATTGCAATTGTAAATGCCCCTACACTCACATGGTAGCCAGATGGAAATCCATTTAAAGGAAACTATTTTGCAACTGTACCACTTTCCTGGATTTATTGCAGTATACACTGGCCAGTGGATCTCAATAATACCAAACAATTGGTTTCTAAAATATTTATACTCTAGAGTTAGATGATGCATTTTTGTTCTGGAATGGTATAAAAAAAGTCAACAAATATATCATAAATTTAAAATGGGCACTTTCAAGAACATATAGGTTGCATAGGAATGACGAATCCCATTGCTATAACTACCTTAGTCCAATAATCTTCGGGTCGGCCCTACCGGTCACTGACTCTCGGGCTCATGCGTGCTGCTAACTTCTGAAGAACTGAAGATGTGATCTTTTTCTAGTTCGATTGCTCCGTGGACGATAATCATCCATAAGAGATGGGACGTGATCTTTTTCTAGTTCGATTGCTCCGTGGACGATAATAATCCATAAGAGATGGGACATCCTTGTTCCTTTCACAGCAGGATATCAGTAGGCAGTGTTTTGCCATCCTAATGCCTACCATTCCTTTCTCATTCATCTAACAAGTTGGAAGGGTGAGAGAAGACAGAACTTGGCTGAGATCAGCCACCAAACTTCTTCACATGATCAACATCTCTCCAATTCTTTCCATCTGTTTGCATCTCTCTTGGCTCATAGTCCTTTTATAGCTGCAGGACGCAACTAGCTAGTCTTCTCTTCACTAGAGAGAAGACTGATCAGATGTACTCTAACTCAAATTTAATTGAACAAAATTCAGAATCAAACAATAATACGCTAGCTGCATGCTACTATTACTTATACTACATATATAGTCATCTTCTTTAGATATGCTTTTCACATGAATATACTACCAAACTTGTACTACCGTTAATTTATAAATAACAAGAAAAAAAGAGCAGCTTTACGGTGCTCCATACTACCCTATACTAGTGCATTACACTACTGATCCAACGGTTTAGATTAGCTCAATTCTACTGAAGATCACACTTAGGGTGTGTTTGAGGAGAAGGGGATTGGAGAGATTGGGAAGATACGCAAAACGAGGTGGGCCATTAGCATATGATTAATTGAGTATTAACTATTTTAAATTGCAAAAATGGATTAATATGATTTTTTAAAGCAACTTTCCTATAGAAATTTTTTGCAAAAAACGCACCGTTTAGTAGTTTGGGAAGCGTGCGCACGGAAAACGAGGAGCTTTCTCACCCAATGTCCCTGGAACGAACACACGAACACAGCCTTAGTATAGGTAGTATACCCATGTAGTATGGTGTAGTACAAGGGTATTTTGGGAAAACAAATGATGGAATTTTTGTAATCTGTCACATGCACATCAACATTTTGTGTAAACATTACTACTCAAAATTCATCGTATCGATTAGTTCTAAATTGATCGAACCGATCAAATAATAAAGAAAAAGAATGATCGAGGTATCGAGCAGATCTCGGGGTCGCTGTTCAGCATGGTGTGTAATTTTAACAATCATTGTGTCATTTACCATAATACCCATAGTAAAGAAGGTTGCATTTCATCTATACTACCGCTCCTGCAGCTAGTAGATCATATTTATACATTAATTTTCACTTGAACAATTCTTTTAGTCAGCCAAGCATATAGCCGGCCGCTAGCTTGAGTTGAGACAAATCCTAGTAGACCATATTTCTTTTTTTTAAAATATATGCATGATTAATGTACACAATCAGAATGGAACTTTAGAACATCCTACTCACATCATTAATCTATCATATAAAACACTGGTATGACATAATGATAGCCACTGAACCAGATATTACACCGATATGCAGTACTTCAAAAAGAAGACAATACTACTACAGCAGTTATACCACCAGTTCTGATTAGCATGGAATATGCAAAGTCAGGACCCTCAGTTTGTTCCTCGCATTCAGCTAATTACTTTAATTCTCCATTAGCAACCATAGAGTTTCTGCAGCTTGATCACACCCCAATACACTGTATTCCCACACTGATTGATCCTCTCTGATGACAACATTGCTTATCATCTCCATTCAGCTAATCAATTACTTCCTCCACCCCAAAATGTTAGCATCTTTGAGGTAGGCATGTGTATTAATAAAGTAGATAGAAATGACTGAAGAAAGATTGTGATAGGTTAAGAAGAGAAAGTAGGTGAGAAAATTAAATGGAGAATGATTATGATTAGTTGAGAGGATCCTCCGGAGTGGTAGGTGTAAAAATAACTTTATTTTGGGACAAACCACTATACTAGAAATAACTATATTTTTTGACGAGGTAGTAATGGTTAGGTACTTCCTCCATTCCACAATGTAAGACTTCCCAGAATTATTTAAATTCATATAGATGTTAATGAATCTAGACACATATAGAAAACATATCCATTGATCAATGGATGAATCTAGGCAAGTCATACAATATGAAACGGAGGGAGTAATTTTTTCAAGAATAGGATTCATGACCACATAGTATTTTACCAGCTAATAGATACATCAAGCATCTGCTCATGACCGAGACAAAAAAATGCAGGTTTTGGTGCTGCCAATCGGTAGTGTCCTCTGATCTGTATTGAAGCTTAAATAGCGAAAGCAGAAGTAATATCGTGGCCTTCACACCACTACACACGCAAGATCAGTCCAATTCGCGGGCCATCCCACACATCTGGCATGCCGCGCCCAAGCTCCAGCATGAACTTGGAAGATTCAAGCCACAAACATGTGCGGTCAACTGCTTTGAATTACGCTCTGACTCAACAAAAAACAGAGCAAACTCAAAACAAACAAAACATGGGAAGAGGAAAACATAGCAAACAGAACCGAGCAAAGCGGCTAGAGTTATTTTAACAAATTCCTGATTCCTTTCATTCACTGCTTCACCACCATTGAAAATCTTCAAAGGCACAAGCCATGAAAGGACTTATTGATATCCAACCAGTGGTTTATATGTGTATGTATATTTCTGTAGCAACCATGGTAGTATTTTTATTTATCTATCAGTGAAACTGCTATTAATTTTCCAAAATTTCCACCATAGTAACCCCATGCATTTTGCTACTGAAGGATAAAAAAGTGTACATGTTTCAATAAACTCCTTGCACTAGTTGTGTTTGGTAAGAAGGATGTGCCTTCTGAGAAAGCAAATGTGAGATGTAATAATGTATCAAGAATCATGTATACGTCATTAATCTATTGAGCTTTCACAAACGATTTCAGTTGCATGAAATAGAATATCAAAACAATGTACATGGCTCAATGTTCTTATCCACAGTTGGTGTAGTGCAAACATGCATACAATTTTCACTCATTTTTTTTGATTTGTACATGAAAATAAAGTAAAAGAGCACTAAATTCTATAATATTTGAGCAAAAGCCTCTTCCATGATTTACATTTACTATAGCTCTCCAGCTACACCTGTTGCTGCATTCGATCACATTGTATTCTGGAAGCATGAGAACCTCCCAAATTCTTGCATTTTGTGGAGTTAACAAGTTAATATTGATAGCATCAATTACTTGACACTATGGATCAAAATCCTGATACCTACCATTCCCGCATTGACAATCTGAAACTCTTCAGAATGTAACTTCAGTTTGGTCCTAATTATATTGCTACATGTATAGGGGAGAAAGTTGAAATTGACTAACCCATATGAATACAGTAGATGTTACTGCATAATAGCTCGTTCCCATGCCTTTCTCATGCCAGCAGTATTGAAGGGTGCTGTTTTTTTTATTTGTTTTATTTTTATCCTTTCTTGTGCAATGGAGAGCCTAGACCCAAGATGGCATTACTAGTTAATATGTTTGGATGTTGCCAGTGTTAAGTGATAACTATAAGTACAATTTTTCACCTACCATCTTCTCTTCTTGGATGAAATAAATCTTGTGGTTATTGAAGTCCAAAAGATGACCACACGAAGGTTTGAAAAGCTCTAGCACCTGCACTCTGCAGTCTGCTCATGTTTCTAAGGCCAATGAAGCTTGACGCAGGCTTTCAGTCAAAGCTTATTATTGGGGGCGTTCATGCTAGTGTTGTTGGAAGCAAATCATGAATACATTATACATGTGCAAACCTGCACATGTAACTTTCTTAGTTGTTTGAAGCTTAGTTTTGAGTCTTTTTTTTTCCCTTTAGTTTTGAGGCATAGAGTTTACGAACTGATGTAACTTTTGATTGTGTATATCTACATGTGGATATAGAGATCGGATTTCTATTCATTATCTAAAAAGAAATGTGCAAACCACGGTGCGTCTTGGTGGGAGGAAACTGGAGACCTCTCAGGGACCACAGACACAAATGCATCGGTGCTCCACTTTGACAAGCTATGTAGCTGACAGAGACCACAAAGAAAATGGGAGTATTCCTATTACTCCATCTGTTTCAAAATATAAGCATTTTTTTTCATATAAAATATGTTTGTAATTTAGAATGGAGGGTTTAAGTTAATAAGGCCTGCGCACTTATTAGTTTTTAGCCCATTAGCTCTTACCGTGAAGAAAACTTGCTCATTATAAAAGAAGCGAACTTGCTCATTATAAATGAAGATGCAGGATGTATAATATAGACAATAGAATGTAGTTTGTAGTTCAGTCACAGATCAAGTAACCATTCTGCAAATTTCTGCTTGGTAAGAACCTCATGAAGGCTGAACTTAGCTTAAATTAATGTGCCAAACATTGACTGCAGATAGTGCTTTAGACTTGTAAATTCTGTAGACTGATAGTTTTCAATGACCACACATATGCGAGTTGCTGGTCGACTCCCAGGTTGATTTCGAAGAACAGAGAATGTCAGAGGACGCGTACAACAAGGTGAAGTTTGCTACTGTGCTAACTACAGCAATCGGACAGATCTCGAGCTCGTTTCAGTTTCTACAAACCTGTTCTTTCATCGGACTAGAAGTATCTCTCAGAGAAGAGAAAGACTTCCTCCTCCCACAACTTATGATGAAGTTTCGATAGTGTTCTGCCATCCTGATGC